TTGTCATTTCGTCTTTTACCAATGGACCTTTGTTATATTTAGGGGTTCATTTATTTGTGAAGTCAAGATCAAGCCTTCTTTTTTATTACTTGAAAATATAAATTAATATTTCGACTATGCAATTTTCATGCTAGATGTAAGAAGATTAAAATTTATTTTAGTAAATTGTTCTTATCTCAATCTAATAATAGATGCTTGTGCGTTGGAATGATAAAAATCTTTATACAAAAACATACTATTAAATACCATCTTACGATAGAAATCAAATTTTTTTGAATTTTTTCTGTCATGTGGGAACCTTGATTTTTTGTTCGTCATGGATGAACGTTAACTTTGTATTCCTTAGATGATCTCAAAACGATTGAATATTCTTTCTTATTAGTGATCATCCCTTTTATTTTTGATCAATTTTCTCGGTGAGAAATGAGAGAATTTATAGAGACGTACATGATCAAGCTTCGATTTGCCTCATGCAGTCTGTCTCGTTTTTGATTTGATAGCATCTTGGTCGGATGAACGTACTTTACATGTATGTGATGTGGTCGTCTTCCCATAAGGACGAATTAAATGTTATACCAATTTCTTAGTGGCTGAACGATGGGTTATTTGTTATAGAGTCCTAGAACTAATTCAGAATTCGGCTCCAATAACCACTATTTTGTGGGTTCAACTATTGATGAGGTTATCTGAATACTGCCTTTTTTTAGAAGCCGAAAATTTTATCGTAAATGGTACCCATGTAAAAAGACAAACATTGTTTTGCTTCCGAGCGGTCTGATAAAATTTTGTTCACTTTTTACGGGTGTATTAGTAGTCAGAAAATCAACACAAACAGAAATGGTTTTTTTTTTTAACTTCTGAAAAGCTTTATTGAGTGAGAATAACTCACCAAAAGAGTGACAAGAACCTTACAAAGGACAAACCAAGACTCAACTCATCTCACCCAATGTCAAGGACACTAAAGATGCACTTACACCGATTCACACGCAATTAAATCATGTAACCAAGAAGGTCCACCCCGAGCGATATATGATTGGAATCTCCCGTCTTGTGTCACACTAGCCGATATCTTCCTGGCTATGACATTCGCCTTTGTCGATTCTAACTCAAAGGCGCATTAATCAAACTCATTCCGCAAGTTGAGAATTTGTTCAATGAATACCCTGTATCTCGGTCACTCTTGAGGCTTGGCAAGTGCATTGATCGCCGCTACACAATCCGAAGCTATGCTAACACTCTTAATGCGTAAGTCTCTCATACTTTGCATCGCCCATATCATCACACGCAATTCTGTTGTAAGTCGGTTCCTAGATCGCGTAAGAGCATCTCGAGAGTGAAACAACACCGAACCCGAAGCATCCCTAGCAATCCAAGCTCCCCCACCATGAAGAACCGAGTTTCTCCAATTGCCATGAACATTACACTTAACCACATCAAGCTCCGGTTTCTGCCACCGATGTCCAATGTCTCCATCTCCCCTGCTGTTCTGACAATTACTATTCACCCTCCCATGCACCTCATGCCAACACTTTGCTTCATCATAGGTCCTTTGAAAGATAGTATGCACCGATTCTTGAGTCCCAGCAAATAAAACCGTATTACAATTTTTCCATATTGACCATAAGACCCATGGAATCACACTATATTGTTGTACTCCATCACTCTCATCCTCTAACAGCTGAAAGACAAAAGCGATATTCAGTTCCAGAACCTCATCAAAGCCATGTTGTGAAGTAATCTTATTCAAATTCATATCATTTTTTTTTTTTGAGAAATAAATTCATATCATATTAAGGGCTCTATTATCAACTGAGAGTCAAATATAATTCATGAATATAGATTGATATAAACATACATTTTAATCAACTCCACAATCACATAAGTACTTAGATTAATAAGTTGAATAAGTCATTAAGTCAAATATGAATGATTGTGTTTTTGTCTTGGCAGTATTTATATTTAGTTCGGAGATTTTAGATCAACTAATCGTGAAAAAATAGAAGAAATTCAACCAAATCTTTTCAAATTTCTAGAGATATCTCGAGTGCGTTGCTGTCTTTCCTCCAAATTCGATATGATAATTTTTAACATTATCAAGGTTTCCATCAACTCTATTATCGAACAAATCCACATAAATTAACCAATTATAATCAAATTCAAGACGTATATTTAAATATAATTTGCATGGAGTCTTACGTAAGTGTCTTAAGTGGCAACATCAACTACAGCACATCTATTACGATTTCGTATCAAATTATATCGTTTTTTATATATATATGGACAAATGGATCTTTGGTTGTCTGCTGACTCTGCTCATTTCAACTGTTTAGGGTTCAAAGGCTTTTGTTTATACGAAACAGAAAATTTGAATAATGAATGTCTAATTTTAGAAATTAATTTATCCTCTTCTATATTTTATTTAAAGAACTATTCGATAAACATTGTAGTATATGTTTGGCTCTTATTATTGCCCAACTGCCCGTTGTTATTTGAAAGTTGACGGAGAATGCGTTTGTGTTTGGATAAACAAAATTAGTGGTTAGAACAAAGGGAACCAAAAAGTAAAACATAATTAACAATCCTCCGATCTAGGGTTTTTGGTTAGATTGTTAATTATATTATTTTTCGTTATTACATAAATTGACTCTAAAATATATAAATTGAAAGAAACATAAGAAATAAAATTGTGTTGTTAAAAATCAAACATCTGCAAGTACATATTTTAGGTTCAATGCTTAAATATATGTTTTCATATAACTAAATGCTCATATAGTTTTTTTTTTTTTTGGATAATCGTGGAGATCCTAAGAGCATCATTATCGTACATACCCATTAAAGGGTCTTAAATAATTTTTAAGATTAAATTTAATGTAAAACAGTTTGACATCCTAAAATCAGTTTCATTAGGTTCCTCCTATAGAATTTTTTTATGGGAAGTTCATTTAGTTAAATAATATTTTAATAACTTTTATGGAAAGACATTTTTAATGGGTATGTGCGATATTGATGTTCTAAAAATTTTCTAGGCCTAAAGACTAATTCCATAAGATCTTGCATCCAGGTACAAATGCTCATATAGTTTCTAATTGTGATACTTTGTTGTAGCTATTACTATGAAACCATGCGGACCATACGTGTGTATCATTAGTCAATTGATTAATTTGTCACAAACGTTAACTAACTAATAAAAATTTGGTCAACTGTATATATACACGTGGGCTTCTCGTTGTGGCAAATGATCCATCATCCGCAACCAAAGCCCTAGCTAGATTTTCGACATGTTATATCTTAAAATAGTATTAACACCTAACCTTAGTCATAATTTTAAATTTAGATTGACTAATTTATTTATTGGTTCAATGGCATAATTTCGCACTTTATAACGATTTCATTTGTCGTTAGACCCGACAGATTCTTAACTATCAAACGCCGAGACATAACCCTAATATTAAGGATCGAATTATATTATTAATCATCTTTAAAAACTAGCTGCGCTTAATAAGTAATAAGATAATACTTTAGTGTGTGTTTGATGCTCCTAATAATTTGGGATCGATAAGAATAAGATATTCATGATCATAATTTATGTTTAGATCGATTAGATTTACTACTATATGTAAGTATAATATAATTTTGAAAGTGATACGACTATTCCTCCCAATGCC